AGACGATTTAACGATGGGCTGTATGAGCATTACAACGATATAGACATAGTGCAGCGAATTAAAATTCAGCGGCTCCGCTGGCTTGGCCATGTCGTTCGAATGGACAGAAACGCTCCTGCTCTGAAAATATTCAACGCGGGCCGCGATACTGGTAACAGAGGAAGAGGGAGGCCTCCTCTGCGTTGGAAAGACCAGGTGGAGAAGGACTTGGCCTCACTTGTTATTTCCAATTGGCGTCAGTTAGCACTGAAGAGAAATGACTGGCGTGCTGTTTTGGACTCGGCCAAAATCGCTTAGGCGGTTACAGCGCCAATAAAGAAGAAGAAGCTGCCGGCGAGTAACTTGAGGACTTTTTTGCCTCTGTACTTTAATGACAATTGCGGTTTATGGTAGGGAGTGAATGTCATCAAACGGTCGTCTCATCGAACCTAGACTTATAGTCACGTCTACTGCAGGTTGCGTCACACTCGGTGAGAATATGTAGGGATATCTCTCTCACTGGTCGAAAAATCGACGTAGTTCAAGTTTTCCCTTTGGGTGGTTAAGTTTAGATCCCTTAGTGCGATCATCTCCTTCCAGAGCTCTTCTCTGAAAAAATTGGGACCTACACTTAGTAACGGCTCGGGTCCAATTGGAGTGATGGTTGTATTGTCCTCTATTCTCCTATGTCCGGGTACCAATGCTAACTGGATGTTAAAGACCTACCAAGGACTCAAGAACTCATTATGATCTAATTTCATATGCAAAGAGCCTTGATCGCTGCGTGGCTATCACTTTAAACCCTGGCCCCGAAGTTTCCTCAACTAATTCCTCCTCGAATTTTCGAGCAGCCAGTGTATCAGCGCATTAGGGTGCCAGCTTGGAGGGATCTCTCGAAAGTAAAGAAACTGCAAGTTGCTTTGCTGCACAACTCGATTCTAATTTCCCGTCAAAGGTTCTGGTTCTGTCTATGTCATCTCTAGGGAATAGCGCTAGACGGAGCTTCTCTATGTTCCTAGAGGACACGAGTTTCTCTTTTCCAAATTATTCTCTAGGAAAGCGTAATACGAGTTCTTTTGGAAACCTGCTCTATGGCAATAATAATGGGTTCAACATTTAACTACTTCAAGCGTCATAGTCGGACATGTGTGCATTGCTCCTGTTATGCCAACACATGCCAATCGTTGTAGCTTGGTGAGTGAGTGATTGTCTTACCGTGTCCGGAGTAGTTCTTCAAACCCAAACTTCACACTTTACGGAAGTCATGTTCGGTCAAGATCTTTTAGATGATTTCAAAATCGTTGCTTTACAAGTAACTACATATGTAAATACAAATATACGCTTCTGTACGTACTTTACTTCAGCTTTATTGAATATACACTTTAGTTTTTCATTAATTACGCATCATTTCTGGAGTCGCAAGTGTTGTGGACTTTGCGGCCTCTTTAAGTCATTCACAATTCATGGTAAAATTTTAGTTTCCCCGACTTGCAAAGACGCATATGTAGGTAACCTATGATAACGAGATAGTTACTTAGATATATATATTTTTTTTATTTAGTTTTACTTGAATTTCTTCATATATTTGAAAAATTTTGTTCTTAATTTTTTCGATTTCATTTTTTTTTATGTTAACTGCATTTTAATTGAACAGCATAATCCACACATTTATTTAAAGTTGTGCTGCACAGTTTCTTTGCGCATAAAATTTAGGACATTTTTTTTTTTTTGTTAAAAATATGTCACAAATTAAATGATATAGCCTTAAAACTGTGCATGCACATTAATTATACATTTAACATTTATTTAAGCAATACACATACAGAAATTTTTCTTCATAAATGTAATTTCATATTCTATTGAAAGTGATTGGAATTTAGACATAAGTAATATTTTAAATTAAAAAAAATGTAGTTTAATTAAATGAACATATTACGTTTGTATAAAATAAAGGTGAACTTTCAACAAATGAGTACTTAATACTAAGAAGAAAAATACCAACATTGGACAACCCATAATAACAAAATGTTCAGCGCATTTCAAAGAACCTAAATTAAACATGTACTACATAGGTTTCGAATATTATAAGCAAACATAAGAATTTCGCAGTTTAATTTTTTGCCTAACTGATCTCACTTAAGCAAAAATCTAAATAAAAAAAAATTAACGCAATTTATTATGAATTGTCCGTGCTATGTGAAGAAATAAATAATATGTATTATGCAGTAGAAATACAGCCAGGTACACACCGCCAAGTGGTCAATTTCAAGCAGCGTGAAAAACGCCTCATTGAAATTGACAACATTGAAGCAGGCAGCAGCGACCGATGTGTTATACCCAGCCAATGTTAAGAGAGAGAGAGATGATTAGCCAGTGTCATTTAATTTATAAATAACCTATAGCGCATTACTTTTGCTTGTTTGCTGTGAGTTATAAAATCGCTATTGTTCATTTGCAGATGTTTATGTTTGCATGCATTACATAGGTATGTATGTTTTTTTTTTTAATGGTAATTATGTATGTGTATAGGTGATAGTATGTGGTTACGCCTATAAGCAGTTTATAAATTAAATTTACGACATTCATGCAGCTCTTTATTTCTTAAAAATATTTTATAAAGTATTATAAAAAATACTTTTTCATTATTACGACGAGTTCCATCATCGAAAATTAAATGTCTGCGTGTACGCATATTTGTGCAACACAAACAAATTGTTGTAATTCTTTTTTGTTTCCATTAGTAGGCTTCTTAGCTTTTGTTTTAGAATCAACACAAGCAGCAAATGTGATATATGTGTTATATTCATAGTAAAATTGCTGTTGCATTGATTGTAATAATTACTTTATTTAGCCATTAGCTTCAAGTTATATTTAATAAATTTTGCGTTTATCTAAAAATAAATTAAAAATTTCAAATTACCACCACCTGCAACGTACAAATATGCATATATTTGGATATAGTATATGTACGTGCATTCATATGCATTCTGATCAACTGTTGCGCAATCGACCTCAACAATGCCCCAATTAATTTCAAATTTTTATATTTATTTTTAATATGTTTGCTATCAAAATACGACCACAGGTTACAATTTTGTTTTTTTTTACATTGCTATGTTTGTGTTTGTATTATAAATTTTAGAATTCCTTTTCTAATCCAATGCCATTTCTTACACTAATTGCATAATCATTTATTTGATTTTTTGTTTAGCATGTATGTAGTTTCGAGCGCTTTTGCAAAAACAACTCATTCGCAAATCGAAACTCACAATATGATAGACTCACAAAATAATTTGTTTTGTAGTTTTCTTTAGCTTCATCAGTGATTCAGCAATTAAATTTAAGCTGTTGAAATTCCCGGCAAATACACGGAAATATATTTAGCCAATAGGATACACGCAACTTGCTTATATTACTACATAGATTAATATAATTGCCGAATGAAAATGATTTATAATAAAAAGATTAGATGGTAAGGATATACATATGTATGTTGTACATAATTTTAAAGGTTTTTACGCCGAATTTTTTTTTTTTCATCTTTTGTGTGTGTTCGAAAAATATTTTGTCAGCAGCAACGCCCAGTAGAGACCGCTTTCCATTGTGCTTACTTGAGCGCCATCAATTTGGAATTTTCTTAAAATATAAGCCGGCTATATCTTTGATCTACATACTAATTCATTAGACATGCAAGCCTTTGCTGCAGTGTTTAGAAGGTTTTCAATATAAATAATTTCTGGCGTTTACTCCATGAACACAATACTATAGTAGTATGTATAACTTTGCTTTTGTACTCGATTTAGGAATACTTTTTGAATTTCGATAGAGAGCTGTATACACGCCAAAAGAATGATATTTGTTTTTCACTGCACATAAATTGATCTCGCTTTGGAAATTCGAAATATACGCTAGGTAAAGTACATAAATGGAGAAAATCGATTGCTGAGTGGAAGATCGACCTTATCTTACGCTTAAATCTTCTGAAAGGACAGTAGATAACATAAAAATAAATTCTCTTATGATATTAAATCCCAATAGCGGCTAATAACTGATAAAGCGTCTAATAATCAGCAGGCATTTAAATCAAAATTTNCACTAATTCATTATACATGCAAGCCTTTGCTGCAGTATTTAGAGGGTTTTCAATATAAATAATTTCTGGCGTTTACTCCATGAACACAATACTATAGTAGTATGTATAACTTTGCTTTTGTACTCGATTTGGGAATACTTTTTGAATTTCGATAGAGAGCTGTATACACGCCAAAAGAATGATATTTGTTTTTCACTGCACATAAATTGATTTCGCTTTGGAAATTCGAAATATACGCTAGGTAAAGTACATAAATGGAGAAAATCGATTGCTGAGTGGAAGATCGACCTTATCTTAAGCTTAAATCTTCTGAAAGGACAGTAGATAACATAACAATAAATTCTCTTATGATATTAAATCCCAATAGCGGTTAATAACTGATAAAGCGTCTAATAATCAGCAGGCATTTAAATCAAAATTTACCATATAGAAAATATAAAGTTACCACAACAGTTTGACCTAATCATAGTGTTTGAAAAAAATAAGTATTTGTTGTTGTAGTATTAACAATAATAAATGAACATTCTGCAAAAGAAAATAAAAATTTGCATTCCTTTCAAGACAAAATTTTGAATTTTTAAATAAACAAAGAAAAAAAATTTCAATTGTAAATGCCAATCCGCAATTTTTCACTCAACTTTGTGCACTGCTGAAAAAAACGATAACTTTAAACGCTTTTAAATAAGACAAAAAATGCTCAAAATCCACAAAAAAAATAAACCAATAAATGCAAAAATTTAAATACATATCGAGTTAAGCCTTTGCTTAACAAACCATTTTTTTACTTATGCTTTCGGCACAATTTTATGAATACAATTTTTAGTTCTGCTAACGCGTTTAACAACTTTTGCTAAGCATAAAAATAACAAAATGATTAATATAAAGTAAATAAATTAAACAAATATGGATTTTAAACGAAAATATAGCATAGATTTTAACAAAATAGCATAAATATAGCAGCACTGTTTTTTTTTTTTAATTATCGTAAAAATCAATTTAACTTTTTTTGTTGCACATATTTTGCGGTTCTGCCCTTTTCAATTGAATGAAAATCTGCAGTTGAACCTCATTTAACATTCTTAAAGTAGTAATGAGTGAGAAAGTACGCTGCATATTTTTCCGCTTCCTTCGCTCCCCACGTTTATTTAACGTCTCTCGTCTCTAGTAGAGACTCTCTACATATTTTATATAGATTTGGTTGCGCCAAATTCAATTTGAATATTATTTTCCCACTTTTCGTATTTTATTATATACGCTCCGCTCCTTCTCAGCGTTTGCATGCTGCTTTTATTTCGCAGCATTATTTAGGCCTAATTCACTAAGTATTTTCAATGCATTTCTAGCAGCATCATTTTGAGATTCCTCAGCGCTGCTGCCCACGCCATGACAAATTTGTGGTGGTTCCGAAGAGAGCGTTACAATGGTAAGAAATTCGCTATGGTTTCCCTTTGGATAATCGGAAAAGTTCACCTAAGCGCGTGACAAAAGAACAAAATATACATTTACTATGAATCTTCCTGTCAAAAATATGATATGTTAGACAAACCTCGAATCCCAAAAGCTTTGCAAGGTACAGCAGCTGATCCTTCATATGCACGCCTGCTGGCTTGGATGCACTGCTGCTCGCCCTTGCTGTTGTTGTTGTTGTTGCGCTGCTGGGTGCACTGCTAACAGCTTTTTGAGCATTGTTGGTAATAGGCGCTGCCACCGGCTGCACCACAGCACTAGGTGGATTAGCGCTCAACGCGATTTCCACTTCACTTTCTTTCACAATATCAGTAGCAGCGCTTTTAACAGCAGGCTGTTGCACTGCTTGCACACCAGCGCCAATAGTTAAATCGGCGGCACGTTTGTTTTCATTATTCTCTGCCATTACGCAACTTGCACTGGGCGCACACTCCTTTTTCTTGACGGCATCTGTAAGCAGAAAATTTAGTGAGCGTACATTCGTTTATTACACATACTATCACAAACTTTTTTTATTATGGCGCAGTATCAAAATGCCGGGTACTTGTCCAGCTGGGGTGGACACGAGCGGCAAATCAAGATGCGCCTCGGCGGCAACAGCAGGTGGCGGTACTTCAGCAATTGGCTGCAAGACTGTATTCGGCTGCTCTGAATGTGAAGAGACTCCATCGATGGCGGTTGCAGGCGCTCGGGCGTATCTCTCTTTAGCAGCAGCTGTCTGTATGGTGGCGGGTGCTGAGGCAGTGTTGACGCCAGCGGTATCGGTGTCACTTTCACCCATGGCTATGAGCAAATCTGTAAAGATGCATGAGTATTATTTTTGTTATGATCTGCAATATTTGGCGGTACTTACTTTGTGCAGCATTACGTTTGGCTAGCTTTTTGCTGTTGCCGGTGCCGCGTGCCACCATGCCATGTGCGCTCACCTCGATTATAAATTCACGTCGACGCGAGTTCTCGTTTCCGTTTTTCGCTATTAGCTCAAACACAGGTTCTTTTTCTTTGCGATTCTGCTGCAATTGGATGAGTTGCGTTATGGGGTTCTCTGCATCGGCCTCTGCTTCACTTTTCTCTTTGATCGAGCCACTGCCGCGTTTGCGTCGTTCACCACCGGCGCCACCAGACTTTCCACTGCCACCACCAGCTCCGTCAGCATTTGCTGCAGCCTTGCTGGGTGTTTTAACTTTAATACGCTTAACCGGCGACTTTGTTGGTGTTAGTGGCGGCAGCTTCTTTAGCTCTTCCAACATTTTTTCGGCGGCGCGTTTCTTTGATGTTTTCTTTCCATTGCCCTCGCCCTCTGTCACTATGGAGCCCACAACGCATGCGGTTACGAACTTCTTCATGTGAGCCGGTCCTTCTTCGCGCAGCACTTTGAAATGCACCGTCATGCTACGTTGTATGCCGATCTCATGCACCAGCGAGATGGGTGATTTGCTATCGCTTTCCTCCAGGCTGTTATTTAGTGCTTCGTTCAGCTGTGTAGCGGCCTGCGCTTTAAGCACCTGTAACGCACGAGACGCTGCGTCATGTTTGGCTTGTTGTAATGTGTACCCCATTCCAACAAATTTCTGCTTGCCAACGACAAGCGTAACTCTGGTCAATGCTGCTGGCATACCATAACGATGTGGAACTGAACCATGATGAGGATGATGCGGATGGTGCGGCATCGGTGGTGGTGGGGCCATGCCATTGTGTGGACCACCAGCCATATGCGGTGGCGCCATTAATGCATATCGTTGCTGCTGGCCATATTTTGGCATGTATGCGCGCTGAGGTGGTGCACCATAGCGTGGACGCATGCCCGGTCCGGAGGTAGGATGACCGTGCAACGGTGGCGCAGGCGGTACTGCATAGGGCCCATTTCGTCGCAGATATGCAGGCGGATCCATCATATGCACATGTGGTGGCGGCGGTGGTGGTGCGTGTTGGGGCATCATATGACCGCTGCCCATGCCGGGTGGTGGAAGCGCATGCGATGGTGGCGGTGGTACACCATAGCGCGGGGGCATCATGGCGTCCGGTGGTGGTCCCATGCTATCGGGTGATGCCACTTGACGTGGATCTAATAGATAATATGTCTGTTGGCCTAATTTCATGGCCAACGCATTCAATTCAACTGTGGGCGTAATATTGGCGCGAGATGAACTGCCCTCTCCATCAGTATTGCGACGAATCACTTTCGGCACAGGATGTTTGTATTTGGTTTTTTCAATAGCTTCGGCTGCTGCTAGATGTTGAGCTTTCTTGATTTTGAAACCCTCCGCTGAATATTCCTCATCGCCCAATTTTAGAGTGACAGTGAATCGCTTGCAATGCGCCGGACCCTTTTCACTGGTTAAACGATACTGATGTGTGATCTATAAAACATCCAAAGCAATAACGTTCACCGTTTAATTTTAAGTAAAAAACAAATAATCGTTAAAAGGAACTAACTTTATTGAAACGCGCCAGCTCGTTGACGAGACACATTGGGGTCTTCTCTTTCGAATTCTTTGGCACGGTGTTGTCTTCGTTGGACAAAATATTGTTGTTATTACTTGTTGCATTGCTACTACTCGCTTCATTGCTAATTTTTGCATTTTGTGTCCCACTCGTCACGTTTTCCTTTTTAGCATCATTTATGGAAGCTAAAACCATAACAAAAGACATATTAACAACAAAAATAACATATGTTTATAAAAAAGCAAGTAATTTCCTAGTCCGAAGTTATACGGTAACATACATAAAATAAGTAAAAAAAATATTCCGATGAATTGATAACCTCCTCCTTTTTTTGAAGTCGGTTAAAAATACTGACGTACCGTCATTCTGGCTTGTGTTTTGCCCATTTTTCGTACACTCCTGCCTAATGTTCGAAGGAATTACTGCGCTTGCAGTTACAGCTACAACCACATTCGCTTTTACTGATGCCTCTGCGGCGCTTACAACATTATTGACACCGCCGCCATCGCTGATATTACTGCTCTTTGATACCTTATTAGTTTCTTCTATGCTCACCAAGGGACCAATAGTGGTCACCTCAATGTTATTTGCTGCCGCGCTGCTGTGCAATCGTGCTTTCAGAATGCGATTTGGATTTTGTAAAATAGTTTTTGGTTGCATTCCACCACCACCAGCTCCATTACCACCGCCACCGCCAACGTTGGGTTTATATTTTGACTTGTGTATATTATTGTTGTTTATTTGAGTAACGCCGCCAGTGTAATAGTTCAAAGCGGCAGGTGGTTGCTGTTGAGGATGTTGTGTGGGTGGCTGTGGCGGTGGCTGCGAGTGTCCGCTGACAATATTGCTTGCCGGATTCAATGTTGTTTGTATTTGTTGTTGTGGTTGTGGATGCTGCTGTGCAGCTGGCGTTTGTTGCACATGTTGTTGTGGATGCTTTAAATGTCCAAGCGCCTGCTGGGGAGGCATTTGAGACACTGCAAGTGTATGTTGTTGCTGCTGCTGTGGTTGCAGCGGCGGTGGTTGCTGCTGCTGCTGCTGTTGCAGCTGCGGCTGTTGTTGGTGTAGTGGATGTTGTTGATGCTGGGACTGATGCTGATGTGTTGATGGATTCCGTGACGTATGGTGTGACGTTTGCGATGTTTGTTTTTGTTGATGTTGTTGTGCTGTTTGAGCTGGCAGAACATTGCCGTGCGTGTTGCTTGCGCTGTTGTATTGCTGAGGTTGATGATGATGATAGTTGTTTTTGTTTGTACTATTGCTGTTGTTGTTGTTGTTTATATGTTGATGCTGCTGACGTAATTTTTGTAGCTGCGTGCTATTGTGCATCGACGGAGGATGCTGGGGTTGGTGTTGCTGAAGTGCTTGTTGGTTCAAACTGGAAGAAAATACATTCGAAAACAATTTAGAGTTACGCTGGCTTAATGACAAACATTTTAATACATATATTAATGAAAAACCATTTGAATACGTACATATGTTGGGCTTTATATAATACCTATGTCGTTACGTTAATAATAACGGGCAGATGGCACTTTTTCATAATTTGAAAGCCTAGATGAAAATATTTATGGGATGTAACGAAAGTACTTCTAAAGGCAAACTAGAGCGTACAAATGGGACCGTTTCACCACTGGGTTAAACCAGAGGTATAGGGGCGTTAGTTGAGTGGGTTTTAGTGGGCATGCGAACAGGTGTCGGGTCATGCGGTAACTCTACACATGCCGGACATACGTTGGGCACAACTGACTTCATCCTGCTGACTTCATCCTGCTTATGTACGCTGTCGATTCCAGTGGTTGTTTTATTAACCTCTGTGCTCAGCCGCAAGCAGATTTCTGATGCCCACGTCTGTTGCACCCCACTAGGAACTGTCATAGACGTCAATACCCAACTGTAGCCTGACCTCTTTCGTCCACATGGTGAAAAGGGTTGCTGAGGATTGCGTATGGAAGAGAATTAAGCTCTTTGTAGCGGAAAAGCGAGAAATTTCGTAAAGGTAAACGTTTACCATTGAACAAAGATCATCGATTCCATTGCCGGAAAATAAAAAGGAGCGATTACTGGCGATTGTCGACCACTTAGGTATTTCGTTGACCACGGTTTGAGTCCTTGTAGGAGAGAGGAAGCCTCAATGTCTTCTACAGGGTGGCGCAGAATGAGCTATATGGTTTAAATGGTTTATAACTTTTTTATTTATGCGATTATTATAATTTTTTTGTTTTAAATACAGTATATTGTTGGGGAATTTTTTGTAATTAGCCTTGAAAAATGATATCCTGTAAGTGATGTCCATTTTCTGCTTCGCACATATTTGGTCTGTTTAGCATATTTTCTAGGGCTGTGCGATTATTCGATTAATCGAGCAAGTTGGTTAATTAATTATTCGGTTAATCAATTACTCGAGTAATCAAGATTTTGATTACTCAAAACGATGATTAATCGAGTTACTTGAAATATGATTACTCAAAAAAAAAAATAATTAGCAAAAATAATGAATTAGCAACAAGAGTTTACGGGATGTACATAGCTCAGTGGTTAACGTTTCTGACTTTGAACATCGAATACGCAGGTTCGATCCCTGCTGAAGTCTAGAAAAAAGAAGTCTGATCAGGAGATGTGGTGATCTCCAAAATAGTGCTATAACGTCTACCGCTTAGACTTTGTTGCTTTTTCAATTTTTCGTAAGAAACAATCGTGGTATAAAGCTCAATAAAAATATTAAAAATAAAATGTTTACAAGCTACAATAACATGGACAAGCCACAATAACAATGACAATAATTTTGCTCGTTAAAAGAGTTTGCTTTGGAAAATGCTTATTTTCTTTTTTACATTCTGTATATGAAAAAAAATATTCGTTTTAATTTTTGAAAACCGAAACGTTGTTTTCGAAGTATCAAGGAACTTTAACTACTTTATACTTTATACATATGTAAAGAGTTGAAAATGTAAATGTTGATTACTCATTTTACTCGAAATGTTGATTAATCATAAAGCAAATTACTCAAATATTTTTGTTTTTGGTTAATCAAAAGTCTTGATTACTCGAGTAACTGAACTTTTGAATAATCATAACTTCTAATTAATCGAATAACTGAGTTATTTACTTTATGATTAATTAAAATTTTGAGTAATCAATTAATCGCACAGCCCTAATATTTTCCATAACTTTTCGCAGAATGTCGGGTGTAATGGCCATGATTTCATTTCGAATGTTGGTTTGGAGTTGGAGAATGGTTCTTGGTTTGTTAACGTACACTCTTTCATTCAAATATCCCCAAAAAAAAACTGTTAAAAAGAATTCAAACCATATAGCTCATTCGGCGCCCCCCAGTATTATAACCAAAAATGTGAGGTTTTTTTTTGGCCGAAATTACGATTTTTTCAAGGTAAAATGATGATTTTTCAGCAAAAGCATTCGGCAACGCTGCTGTCAGGTCATTTCCAGGCGTGGATCCCGTTGGCATAGAGTAAAAAAAAACTTTTATAAAGAATTCAAACCATATAGCTCATTCGGCGCCACCCAGTATTATAACCAAAAATGTGAGGTTTTTTTTTGGCCGAAATTACGATTTTTTCAAGGTAAAATGATGATTTTTCAGCAAAAGCATTCGGCAACGCTGCTGTCAGGTCATTTCCAGGCGTGGATCCCGTTGGCATAGAGTAAAAAAAAACTTTTATAAAGAATTCAAACCATATAGTTCATTCGGCGTCACCCAGTATTAGCGTGGAATGGCAGGCGGTGTCAAACGTTTTTGACAAATCCAACGCTACTATCTCTCTCTCTATGTGAGTGTCTTCGCTATCGGGGAAAGAAGAGTTATCGTCCGATACGCCGATGGATGTTGTGGACCTTGGTGAGGTACGTTCGCCTGCAGGAACGTGCGGTCGATGTCTGCTTCGATGAGACGATACTGCGCCGTGATGTGTGACAGTAGCCTTGATGGCCGCTTCTCCATTCTCGAGGTGTCAAGCTCAGAACATACTTTTAAGTGACGCCAGCTAAGTCACTGGTTGTACTTCAATGATATCGCATTACGGTATGTTTTAAACAGACGCACGGAGCAGAATATGTTAAGAACCAACCAGGAGCTGCTAATTAGTCCTAGCACGTGGATTGAGGCGGCGTGTAGGTAGGGGCGTGGATATGTTACGGCTTGTGTTGGGGTGTTGGCTTATGTTACTCAGGTGTAAGCTGTGGAAGCTGCTTGGAGGCACAGGTGCATTACGTGGTTTTTTGGTTGCCCAGGAAGCAGTATTTGACGTTTGACTTGAACAACATGGCACAACAATGTGATCCACTGCCTGTGTGTTCTGAGACCAGTCTGATAAATGACAATTCAACCGACCGCAGTCGACAAAAATCGACAGAGTAAACTTTTGCCAGCCGACGGCGAACCGAAACAACTCATAAATTAGTTTGTTTATTCGATTGCTGACATTTTGACAGTGTGCTATATTTTCTTGTTCGTAAACCAGTGCAGTAATAATTCTTTTAGAATCAGTTCCATGCACGCTTTGAAATAATTTTTCTGCTGCTCATATGTATTTGGAAAAAATTTCATTGCTGAATGCTACTTTTGTCAACTCGTGTATACAAACGCTCTGGCTAGTCCATTTTCTAGTCGATTTCTGAGTAAATTTTCCAGTCGGCAATAATCAACTCCTGTAAAAGCAGCTTAAGCGATCGTTTTTTGAGATAAGATGGTGAGTTAGGTGCCATTCTTTTGGGTGCGACATACGTACAGTGACGAAGAAAAGTATAGAGACAGAGAATTTTTCGCATTTTAGGCAAAGTTTTTTATTCTAATCACTTTTTTATCGCTTTTTTTTTATAAAATTATAGCTCATACTGCCGCAGAAACATAAAAATTAAAACTCCAAACTTTGTGCAAAACTCAATAAATTTGCATACTAGATAATCTGCTATTATTTTCTTCCATACAAAAAAAAATTTCGAAGATACATATGTACTTTGTATGGAAGAAACTGCATGAAAGAAAATTTCCAAAAATGTACGCGATCTGATTAGAAAGTTGAAAATTAGTAAGCAAATGTATTGAATTTTTCTGAGTTTAGCAAAAAATTTTAAAATTAAGATATATTTTAATTTTTTGGTTGTTGTAGTATGAACCACATTTATATAAAAATTTTGCGAAAAGAAATAAGATTAAAAAACCTGGCATACATTGCCGACAACTCTATGTGCTAATAGATACTTTTTTTCGTCACTGTATGTACACAGGCGGTTAAAACTCGATGAATGGTGTTTTGTTTTTAATATTTACAATCTTTTTCAAGCAAAAAATTTTTTTGTTTATTTTTTATAAAAGTATGCTTTAACGAAAACCATACAAATCAAACTTACAAAATTTGTGCAGAATTTAGAAAAATTAAAAAAAAGATGTTCATACAAATTTTGAGCTTTTTAATCACAATTTTTATACACATTTTTAGTATGCTGTTACAAGGATTATAAATTTTAGTAAAATGTGTAATTGCAAGTTTTAAGCGGCTAAAAAATAAAAGGGGTATTCAGGCGTTAATGCGAAATGCAATTGCAACGGTGCGAAATGCGAGAATGCAGTCATTGCATTTGCTTATGGTTGGTAAAGAGTGAAATGCAACGGCTGTGTTACTGCTGATAAAATTTCACAACTTCACCATTTTGTACTAATGCAATTTATTTCGCATTAACGTCTGAATACCCCTTATTTTACCTGCTGATGGCTTTTGTGATTTTTTTTTTTATATAACAAGTGCAATTTATAAAAACTAGCCTTAATTTTTTACTTAATTTGTTCGCAAACGGTCTGGTGCCATTTTTCCCACAAAAAGTCATGTTTACACAGAAAAAAGTGCAAAACACCGTCGACAAAAAAAATATTAAAAATTTTGCAATTTTTTAGCCGCTCAAAACTTGCACTTATTTTACTAAAATTTCAGAAGCCTACATGTGGTGTAGTGGTAAGCAGTGCGCGCTTTCACACATCAGCACCTGGGTTCAAGCCCTGGTCAAAGCAACATTCCAAAAAATATAGAAAAAGGTTTTTTCTAAACAGCGGTCGTCCCTCGGCAGGCAATGGCAAACCGCCGAGTGTATTTCTGCCATGAAAAAACAGCTTCTCATAAAAATACAATCGCCGTTCGGAGTCGGCGTAAAACTGTAGGTCCCTCCGCTTTGTGTGACAACATCAAGGCACACGACACAAGTCGGAGGAGAAGCTCGGCCAAACACTAACATATGTGTAAGCGCCAATCTAATAATAATAATAACATAAAATTAAAAAAAAACTGATTTAAAACTTAAAATTTTGATCATACCTAAGATAAATTTGTTGAATTTTTCTAAATTCTGTGTAAACTTTGAAAGTTT